CGATTGGGCAGCAGAAAATAACATGTTTAACGGTGATAAATTCCAGGTACGGCAAAAGTTTGGTGATAAATTCCATGTTTTTTGCCTTATGGATAAATTCCATACGGCAAAAATGAGGATCTGAAACATAATACAGGGTACAAAACACAATCGAATCTGCCCATAGTAGGAAAACAGCATGTCAAGGATTTGGGAATAATGATGTCCGACGACCTAACGTTTAGGGAGCATAACCAAGCAAGTATTGCGTCAGCCAGAAAAATTATATAGTGGATTACGAGAACCTTAAAGTCCGGAGATCTCATCACAATGGTTGTCAAATCACTTGTGTTGTCCCGTCTTTAGTACTGCCCAGTACTCGCTTCCCCTTCAGAGCAGAAGAGATTGCTGAAATAGAGGGGATACAGAGAACATATACGGCACGCATAGACGAGATAAAGCACCTAAATTTTTGGGATCGTCTCAAAGCTCTCCAAATGTACTCACTAGAAAGGAGACGAGATAATATACACATGGAAAATACTGGAGGGACAGGTCCCAAATCTGCCGGTTGTTCAACGTCCTACCAGCGAGCATCAGAAATATTGTCTGAACAACCGTGGACATCTTCAAGAGAAAACTAAATTGTTTTCTTCAAGGAGTGTCGGACCAACTGGGCTGTGATGGATATGTGGGCTTGCGGGCCTGTCCAAGCAACAGCCTGGTGGACCAAACTCTCACAAGTCAAGCCTGGCCAAGGGCCGAGTTTGGGGAGAAGAACTCTCAGAACCCCGTCAAGCAGGTACGAATCGGAAGCATCGCTGTCCACTCCGCTGTCAGGCCTGGTTAACTCTAGTAGCCATTTTTCAGACCATTTCTGGATCATGTCCAAATCCGTTTGCAGTGCCTCACAATTTCTGACTATTCTAATCAGTTTTGCATCTGAAATCATTATTCTTGCGTGGTCCTTGCAACATTCTTCCTCTCGCCCTGTCGTGCTTTGACTTTTACCCCTCCTGAAGTTCCTATTCCTCTTTACCACCTCTGTCCGGCTATCTTGCTTACAAGATTCTCTTTCGGTTCGTATTTCTAACGTTTTTCCTCGTATTGTTCCTTCCTTGCCCCCCGTAGAGAATTTCCCTTCCAAAATTTTGTACATCCTGGACCCGCGTCACTGAAGCTTTTACCCCTCCTACGGTTCTGAAACGCCGTTTCCTTGAACACTTTTTTTTCACACTCGCTCCATTTCCATCTTCACCGATGGGTCTAAGTCTGCGGACGGTGTAGGCTACTCTTGTTTTTCCTGACCACATTTGTGTGTCGCCTTCCTCCTGAGACTAGCATCTTCACAACAGAACTTTATGCTGTTCCCTATGCACTTCGTCTCTTGCTTTCTCATTGTCAATCCTCCTTTGTGGTTGTAGTTGACTCTCATAGTGCCCTCATTTATTTATTTATTTTATTTATTTATTTATATATATATACAAGAAGGTACATTGGGTTTGTGAGAATACATTGGATAGTACAGTAATTACATTCTTGTAAAGCCACTAGTACGCGCAGCGTTTCGGGCAGAACTCTAGGGCTTCGGCTCATGGCTCTAGGGTCCTTTAATCCAGTCCATCAGGTGGTCGTCGAGATTCAACATTGGCTGTTACTTATCTCCAGTAAATTTAAATTGTAGAGTTTTGCTGGGTTCTCAGCCATATTGGTGTTTCTTTAAATGAGCGTGCGGATGCTGCTGCTAGGGAAGCTATCCGCTCTTGTCCCATCTCCCATAAAGGTATACCTTATTCCGACTTTTACCCAGTTATTCATTCCTCCATCCTTGCCCGTTGGCAGGGTTGTTGGTCTTCTGTTGTTTTTAAGAAACTGTGTATTCTTAACTGTCTCCATGGCCTTCCTCCTACCACCGTAACCGGCGATGGGAAACGGCTCTGGCAAGGTTGCGTATTGGCTATACACACTTAACCAACGGTCACTTAATGGAGTGCCGCTCTGCTCTTTATTGTCCAAATTTCATTATCCCTCTTACAGTCGTGCGACATTTTATCCTTGTTGAATGTCCTGACTTCCAGGATGAGCGTGTGTCTTGCTTTCCGATCATCCCTCGAGGTGACTTGTCCCTCGAGGTGACTTGTCCCTCGAGGTGACTTGTCCCTCGAGGTGACTTGTCCCTCGAGGTGACTTGTCCCTCGAGGTCACTTGTCCCTCGAGGTCACTTGTCCCTCGAGGTCACTTGTCCCTCGAGGTCACTTGTCCCTCGAGGTCACTTGTCCCTCGAGGTCACTTGTCCCTCGATAGAATTCTTGGTGAATCGAATACTTTTGATATCGTTCACCTTCTGCGTTTCTGTTCTCTTATTGGCATCCTTGGTGGTATTTAGCGCCCTCTGATTATTCTGCACATTTGATGGTGCTACATAGCCTTCCCGGTTTTGTGCCTTCTTTTGATAAATACTTACATAATTGTAAAGCCACTAACACACATACTGTTTCGGGCAGGTCCTTAATCTAACAGATAATATAAAGTCTGTAATTTGTAGCAAAATTGAAAGATGTTAAGTTATATTGTAAGAAAATTTGAAGACATTTAGTAGGTACATTACGGTAAAATTTGAGGATTATGAACAGGTACATTGCAGCATAATTTGAGGATTATTTATAGGTACAGTGTAGTAATATTTGCGTTCAACATAACAACCGTGAAATATGATTGTGATTACAGTGGTGAATTGAAATTGAATTGAAATAAGTTTATTGATGTAAAATACACACAAAGTGGTGAAGTTGTATGGTTTAGGCACATTTTTGGGGAGTGGGTAACACAAGATACAGTGCGAGTTTGAAGCACCAGGTAGGAAATTGAGGAGGAAGTTAGGTACGTTTTGGGTTTACTTTAGAATAAGGCGTAGGTTGGACAGCTTTTTAATTCGTTAGGGAGTGAGTTACATTGACTAGGTCCCTTGATTTACATAGCATTGACACAGATTAGTGCACTCATATTTTGACTTAACATTGGTTCGAGATGGTAATCCGTTCCTCGTAGGTTTAATATAATTCTATGACCAGGCGACTAAAATTAGGCAAGAAAAGGTGGACAGACCTCATTTTTTTGAACTGTCAGAAAGCCATTGACACAGTACCCCATAAGAGGTTGGTGCATAAGTTGGAAGAACAGGTAAGATGCTCAAGTGATTATGGGTGTATCTATAAATAAGAGAAAATAGCGATTTACTGTGAAAGAGGGGGAGACTTCAGAATACTGGCACTGAATGATATAATTCAGTTTAAGATACAATTACGCTCTAAGAGACGAAAATTGAAGATATTTAAAATAGTCATATTTACCAGGGGTTATTCAGTTTGGAGAAGACAGAAACATTAGAAAAGGTGGAGGCGTAATCATGATATTGGTGAAAAACAGAATGTAAGAGAATTAATAATCCACAACCTACGAGATGTTGACATAATGGCCCTGCAGATTTTGAATCTGAATAATGATAATTATAAATGCCCACAGTCCACAAGCAAGCAACGCATGGACAAAGCACTTGTTGGAACTAAGAGTCTTTAACTTGAAATCAATATTGGTGCCCTCTTTTGATAATTACTTACTTGAAATCAATAGATTGGGAGGCCTACTCACAAGATGAGTGATGAGTGGCGCTGCCCAATAAACTCGCCCCTCGGGGCAAAATTATAATAAAAAAATTAAATTTATTGGACTGGCAGACTCGTAAACATCCTGGAGGTTTACGAATCGTGTATCAACACATCAGGCAGGCCACAAGAATGACGTATGGAATGTTTTATCAATGTTAGATTTAGGGCATTCATGTCATGTTTGAGATCAAATATGCAATGCGTTATTATCTATAAAAGAAGGTGGAAATTAAACAGTTGAAAAACTTCGAGAGGATACTATGGGGAATTTGCCAAGTTTTAATGAATTTGATTGGAAAGGTCTGTTGCTGAGTAAGGAAGTAAATGTGATATGTTCCAAATTTTGCGAGATAAATGATGAAGGCATGAACAGATTTATACCACAGAGATGCAGAACTTGAAAATAGGATTGATGTAACATAAATTGCGAAAGAGCCATAGAACAAAAGAAAAAAAATAGTTCAATATAAGGAACTATTTTTGTTAGGAACTATTTTTAATGTAAGCCTAACCTTCAAACGTACAAACAATAAGAACTATACGGCAGCGAGGAGAGACGCAGAAAGAAACTTTGAGAAAGGGACAGACAGACTGCTGACGTAGATGACAAAAAAATGAGAGCAGTAATCAGAGCCAATGTATCAGACTGGAACTTATTTAAGAGACGTGATCTGACTTGAGCTTTGCCCCCTATTGCTTATTCTCCCCTCTTTCTATTCTTACCTTTTCTCTTATTCTAACTTTCCTCTTATTCTGACTTTCCTCTTATTCTTACATTCATCCTATTCATACCTTATTCTTACATTCATCCTATTCTTACCTTATTCTTAACATTCATGCAATTATTATCTACTCACCTCACTCCCCTACTATCTATAATTATATATACATATATATATATATATAATATATACTTTCATATATATATATATATATATATATATATATATATATATATATATATATATATATATATATATATATATAAATAAAATGTGTAATTATTATTATAATATGAATGAATGTATGTATGGCAAATGCATATGAATGTACGACAAATAAATAAATAAAATAATGATTATAATATTATATAGTATTTCACCGTAATATATAAAAATAATTTAGTCTTGTAGTGCATTAGCAAATGCTTACTTATATATTACCTGTTCATTTATTTATATTGCCTGTATATACCATATAATTTACTATACACACAATTATATATATTTATATAATTCTATTATTTATTAAATATTTTGGCTAAAATAGTGAGTATTTACTAGTTATTGATCTGTGTGTAGTGAGGTGGTGATGTTTACCTGAGGTTGTTGACATGTGAGATGGTGCCAGGTAGGGTCCCAGCTCACTGCTCCTCCTCCTCTCCTCTCACCATCTGACCTCCACCGGGGACATCACACAACCACTCTGATGGGGCTGCAGTCACTCTTTAGTGCCGTCATAGTTTTGAGTTCATTAATGACCCCATATACCCATCTCGTAAGGGGTTGACGAAAGGTTACTGTCACATATGGGTTCAGGTACTGAACTCTAATGATTTTAAAACTTAAAACAGTTTACATTAATAGTGAAATAACTGCATATATATTTTATCATTTACCTTACACCCATCAAGTGGGCAGTTGGGGAGCAAATAGATTATTTTTTTGAGGGGGTGGGAGGGACCCTGGACTGTGTATGAGGCGTGTTTGTGTTGATACAGGCTAGTCAAACACTATTCGCCCATTTTTGTAGTAAACACAGTGGTATTTGCACACTTTTATATAGTATGATGCCAGGCTAGCATTGTCGGTAACGAGAAATATGAGATTTGTTCCATTCCTATGGAAGCAATGTTTTGTGATTGTGTTCCAGATCATTTTCTTGGTGTGCATGGATTTGAGTGCCTTCAAGTCGTGTTGCCCTTTCTCCAACTTATGCTACACCAAAATTAATTGTAAAAACTTCATGTACTCAAATATTGACTTAATCAAAGTGTCAAGTTGCTTAAGCTAACATGACCTATCATGTCCATAAACTGGAGGAAGGAGGGGCAACTTTACATGAACCAATTTAAGTCAGTTTTGTCACACTACTATGTTAAGAATGAATATGGGAACTGGTGAGTGATTTAAGGTCGAACACCAAATTCGGCATCAATTTTTTGTTTTGTGTTTTGGGGCTAATGCATGTAACATATAGTGCTAGGTTAAGTTAGTTAAGCAGTTTCTTATATACAATTTCCTACTACTGAAAATAAGATTTTTTTTAACCTAGTTAATCTATTCTGGCATAATGTAGCAATGTGCATTAGCTCTGAAAAACACAAAGCAAATATAGCTTATGTAGTGAATATAGCATTTGAATTTAAGAACTCGGTTCCACTTAAATAATCACTTTTATCTTTAAACAAGAATATTAACTCAACCCAGTAAACAAAACCTGGTAGCTGGCAGTTCTTCACATAAATCATTAAATATTGGACAATATTTTTGCACTGTTCTAAGACTGAATCTGCAGATTAAAATAATAATTGTGTTGGGGGACAGGCAATCAATGTACATGTATGGCTTGTTTCAAGGGGTGATATCTCTATAAGGTCAAGTCACTGACTCCTCAGGGTATAATCCCACAACAAGCCAATTAATTCCTGGGTACCTATTTACTGCTTGGTGATCAGGAGCATTACGTAATAGGATTTGTTCGACTCGGGATTTGAACTCAGAATTCCTGATTGAGAACAAGTCCGACTGTACTACCAGGACCTTTAAATTAGTATATAAGATTACATTTTCTGGTTTCCAAATAGTGCAGTACCCAAAGGGCATAAGCTAAGTACTGTACAGTATTTCCAAATAGTGGTGGTAAACCTTTAGTGGAAATGGGTCACTTTGTACATGATAGTTAACCAACAAATTTTAAACCTAACCTAACTTATCAAAGTTTAATGTAACCTGACCTGAATTTACCTGAGGGCTACTATCTCTCTAATGTCCTCAATGAGAACAGGGAGCTGGCAGCTTGTTAAAGATCCCCCCAAATTGTCCTGATGATACTGAGTTTGATTTTGAATTGTAAAATCATTGTATATTGACATTTACAGTGTCGGTGGATAAGCAGTTCCACGGGTATATAACCCTATGGGTGAAAAAGCATCTTGTTTTCTGTCCTACATTGTGGCTCCATGAGCTTGAAACTGTTATTTCTTGCTTGTGTTACATCTGACCTTTTAAAGAAGTGGGCTGGATAAATGTTCTCCACATTGTTCGGTACAGGTCTTTTAAAAGTTTCAATGAGATAGTCCTTTCATGTTTGGTTTGTAGTGTTGTTAGCCCTGTGGAACTCGGGTGTCCTGATATGAGGGTCAACATAGTTCTGGAATGATTTTTGTTACTCAGTGTTGAACTTTCTCAGCTTATTCACCCACTGGGATGAATAACAGTATTGTATAACTGATGAACATATTTTGCAGTATGTATTTCGGTAGTACTGTACAGTCAGGATTGTTCTCGACTCACAGTCGAGAATTATAGGTTCGAATCCTGGGCAGGACAGAAATGATTAGACGCATTTCCTATCACCAAATCCTGTTCACCTAGCAGTAAATAGGTACACAGGAGTTAGTCAGCTTCTTGTGGGGATGCATCCTAGAGTAATTCATCATTTTAGGAGGGGGGGGGGCCTCAATATAGGTCAAACATGTATATATACATTTGCTGCCTGCACCCCAACATAATGAATTATTATTTCTAAAGTATAGATATTGTTTGTGGTAACCTGACCTAATCCAATTTTGCCTTGCCAAATTGTGCTGACTAGTTTAGAGACAAATATCTCCACCTCCAACTTGCCCCTAACTTAATCAGTGTAGTTTTACAGACCATACATAATTGTTTAGGAAAGTTTGGCTAGTTGGAATGACCAGGTTGGAAGCTCAGTTCTTTCTCAGGAGTATAATTGATTTTTGAACCCACAGGTCCTACCTACACTCCTACACCAAGGATTGTGAATGTCAGATACAGACCCATGTAGTATTGCACTAAATAGTGAATAATTTCAATTAAATTGCATGAATAGACCTGTAATATATTTTTGTATCTTGTATCTATATACTGTTCTGAAGTTCAATATCTCATAGTCTGTATAAAAATAGTGGCGTCCCATGTGAATGGGACTCCACTATTTAGTTCAAAGTTCCCAGTCTTATGGAAATGTAGATGCAACAAAAGGATTCATTCTAGTAGTAAAATCCTTGTGATCTGTTGCAGGGGCAATAATAGAAAACGTCCAGTGAAGAGAATCCCCTTATAGTACAGTATTCCAAAAAATTATTAAATCAGTGTATTAACAAAATACTTAAATTGCTTATTCAAAGTTATTTTAGTACGTATCCAAATATTTGCAAATGCATTAATATTGGGACTAATAAAATTGATATTTAAGAATACTGTAATAGCAAATTATAACAAAAGTTCAGATACTGTATAACAAATTCATTGAGGTGGGAGGGTTCTGTCTGAATTGGTCTGTTCAAGCAAGACCCACTGTAGTGTAATGCTCATTGTACTGTACTGTATTCTGTATTCTATATAGCTATTCATACTCCTTAGGTTAGGTAAGGGTTTATTATTCAGCTGATTCTTCAGTAACTTCTGAGAAAGTCTGTCCTTTTATGATCTTGCTGACACCATAGTGTGGTGAGCAGTGTCCCACAGATTCTAGAATTACAATTCATAACTATGAATATATTTATTTACAGTATACAGTACAGTATTTGTATTTTGATGTAAATACTGTACTCTAATACTGTAAGCTATACAGTATTACTTCTGTAGAAACTGATTTTTTAATTCATATTTTTATAATAATTGGAAATATTGGAATAGTTAATTGCTTGTGAAATTTGGTACTGTTTTCCAACTACATGCATATACTGTACTGTATATTATTATTTTTTAAGTTAAGAATAGTTTGAAGAATATATTGCTGCTTAAATAAAATAACCAAGGTCATTTGGTTTCCAGGCTTTGGGATGCTGATTACAGTATTAACATTTGCTCTGAACTTTAGAAATTGTTGTTTAAAATACAGTATTTGTATAATTGTGTTTCAAGAAAAGTGTTTCCTTGAACTGTGAGCTCAAGTTACTCTTTTTACGGACTTTCAAGAAGTGTAAGGGTTACTGACATAAAGATTTATGGTCTCGTATAAGGACAATTGAGACCTGAGGTCAATGACATGTTTTCACTTTTGTGTTAATTATAGTGGTAGTACAATATTTACTGGTATTTGCTTAATTTTATTGCAAATTTTATACAGATAACAAGGATAGCTAGCTAGCTAGTTTTCCCTTGTAAAAAAGAACAGCTAATTCCCTTTCTGCTCTGAAAATCATGAATGGCATGGAAACAAGGGTAAAAAATCTGGCATTTTGCACCTTGGCTCACCTGTTTTGGAAGGACGCGCAGAGTGATTGGACAGTTCATTGGTGATCTTTGAAAACGTTCATAGTTATTGGCTCATTTGAAAATGCAGGCAAATCAAATATCCGTGGAGGAGCCAGACCCAGAAAGACAGAGCTAGTGTTGAGTAGGGGGTGCAAACGTACAGTGAACGGGAAATTAGCCCTTTGTGTTTAGTGAATGGCGAGGAAGTACATCATGGACAGCCAGGCTGTGGTGAGTACCCTTCTATCTCAGGACTCCCACACACTTATTCATTTAAAGTAAGGTTCTTCAATTATAAGCTCTAATACATGTATAACATTGTTTAAAATAATTTAGCTCCCACTTTTCTACTGGTAATCTCATCATGTAATGTTTTTAATTTGTATTTACAGTGTATTTTATTATAGGATTCTTTCCTGCTATTTATAAATACAGTGCAGTACAGTTGGATCCTGATACTTTGCGACACTATTCTACACTAGTACAGTAAAATAAATTTAGGCATTCGCTTCTTCACAATAAATTAGTTTTTCACTTTTTTTTCTCACTATTCATTTGAGAGTTTTAGAATTACAATAGGTTGATAAATTAAGATAATCCCTTGTACAGTACTCAAGTCTTACGTATAAACATGTATATTCATACAATATTTTATAGTTCATAAGAGATACAATTCCAACAGTGACTATGAAGGAATTCACATGTGAAACTTGGGTTGTATGTTCACCTGTATTAGGTCTGAACTACAGTACAGTACTATACCTTAAATTTTATAATAAATTACTGTCAGTCCACTACAGGCTCACCATAGCCCCTGCTACTTGGAATGTTTTGTTCCAAGTAGCTGAATCTAAAAAAACTACAACATTTACTGTATTTTATTAAAATATAATTTTTTTTTAACAGTCTAGTTAATTGTGTGCTGTCTTACAGCATAAATAAACTTTTTATTTTACTGTGCAGTATGTAGTACAGTATCTTGATCATGTTAAGGGGCCTGGTGATGGTGTTCCAAAACTTCCTCAAACACACTAAATTTTTTGTGAATGATATCTTCATTGTAAATACTCCAACTTTTCCTAACGGATCAACATCATACCATGAACAGAAAAAAAAGTTAAAAATAAAATAGAAAAAATAAATACAAAATTTCACAATTTCAAATTAGGTTTAAAATATTAAAATGTCACCAATTGTTATTTTATTCATTATGGTCTTAGAATGGCATATAATGTTCATGTTCCTCGCTTAAAAATATTGTTTTAGAGTATAGTTTACTGTAAAAAAAAATGGGAGATTTGTTTAAAATTTCTCACTATATAGTATTTCATATTTGGAAAAATACTCCTCTGTTACCGGGCCCCTTAAGTAACATATTGTATAATTAATATTCCCAAAACACTATAATGGTTTACAAAAATGCAGTTTAATTCTTAACAGTGTTCTCATGAATGCCTCCATGTAAAACTGGGATCCTACTGTGTTGCTTTCACAATTTAGTTCATGACATTCCTTATTTCTTTTGAAATTCCATTTTGAATATTGGTTGTAGAAATTCCCAGAATACTGTATGTCATATCATTTCAAAAATGCATGCAACCTAATCAGTATTTTCTGATACTGTATACTGGCATTTTCTTTGCAAGACAGGCATCTTTTCAGTTTTGTTTATTTTATTGAAAATGATTTGATTATAATTTATGGACACTTGACATCTAATCCTTTTTTTTTTTTTTAACATGAGTACTGTACTGTATAGTACTCTACTCATTGGTTTTTACTTTGTTTTGTTTAGATGTCCAGTTTGTGAGATTTCTCTTGCTTGGAGGTGTAAGTGTTTGTGAAATGCGTTCTCTTCACTTGAAAGTGTAAGTGTTCATTGCAATTTTACTGCAAAGCATTAGTTCAAAAATATATATTTGTATTTTAATTTCCAATAATCTATAAATTACTGTACTGTATTTGTAAAATGTTGCAAATAAAAATCATCATATAAATCATATGTAAGGTATTTATGTAATTTAAGTTATACTGTAGTCTGAACAACAATTTTATTACAAATTATTTTCCATTTTCAGGTCAGGATGAATCAAGACCAGTTTCTTCTTAAGTGGAATAACCACCAAAATAACTTTGTCGAAGTGTTTAGTTATCTGCGTACACAGGTGTGTTTTATTACCTTGATCACCTTTGTTTCACTAAGTCATTTAAAATAATTAAACAACAGTTTATCTATTATATATATGTGTATGTATAATATGTATAATATGTATGTATGTATATATATGTATTTATGTATATATATGTTGGTATATATGTATGTATGTGTATATATATGTATGTACATATATGTGTATGTACATATGTATGTACATATATGTACATGTATGTACATATATATATATATATATATATATATATATATATATATATATATATATATATATATATATATATGTCGTACCTAATAGCCAGAACGCACTTCTATGCCTACTATTCAAGGCCCGATTTGCCTAATAAGCCAAGTTTTCATGAATTAATATATTTTCTCTAATTTTTTTCTTATGAAATGATAAAGCTACCCATTTCATTATGTATGAGGTCAATTTTTTTTTATTGGAGTTAAAAATAACGTAGATATATGACCGAACCTAACCAACCCTACCTAACCTAACCTAACCTATCTTTATAGGTAAGGTTAGGTTAGGTAGCCGAAAAAGGTAGGTTAGGTTAGGTTAGGTAGGTTAGGTAGTCGAAAAACAAATAATTCATGAAAACTTGGCTTATTAGGCAAATCGGGCCTTGAATAGTAGGCATAGAAGTGCGTTCTGGCTATTAGGTACGACATATATATATATATATATATATATATATATATATATATATATATATATATATATATATATATATATATATATATATATATATATATATATGTCGTACCTAGTAACCAGAACGCACTTCTCAGCCTACTATGCAAGGCCCGATTTGCCTAAAAAGCCAAGTTTTCCTGAATTATTATATTTTCTCTAATTTTTTTCTTATGAAATGATAAAACTACCCATTTCATTATGTATGAGGTCAATTTTTTTTTATTTGAGTTAAAATTAACGTAGATATATGACCGAACCTAACCAACCCTACCTAACCTAACCTAACCTATCTTTATAGGTTAGGTTAGGTTAGGTAGCAGAAAAAGGTAGGTTAGGTAGTCAAAAAAACATTAATTCATGAAAACTTGGCTTATTAGGCAAATCAGGCCTTGCATAGTAGGCTGAGAGGGGCGTTCTGGCTACTAGGTACGACACCTGCCAGCCTGCAGGCACATCCTGCCAGCCTGCAGGAACATCCTGCCAGCCTGCAGGAACATCCTGCCAGCCTGCAGGAACATCCTGCCAGCCTGCCTGCCAGCTTGCCTGCCAGCCTGCAGGCACATCCTGCCAGCCTGCAGGCACATCCTGCCAGCCTGCAGGAACATCCTGCCAGCCTGCAGGAACATCCTGCCTGCCTGCCAGCTTGCCTGCCAGCCTGCAGGAACATCCTGCCAGCCTGCCTGCCAGCTTGCCTGCCAGCCTGCAAGCACATCCTGCCAGCCTGCAGGCACATCCTGCCAGCCTGCAGGCACATCTTGCCAGCCTGCAGGCACATCCTGCCAGCCTGCAGGCACATCCTGCCAGCCTGCAGGAACATCCTGCCTGCCAGCCTGCAGGAACATCCTGCCAGCCTGCCTGCCAGCTTGCCTGCCAGCCTGCAAGCACATCCTGCCAGCCTGCAGGCACATCCTGCCAGCATGCAGGCACATCCTGCCAGCCTGCAGGCACATCCTGCCAGCCTGCAGGCACATCCTGCCAGCCTGCAGGCACATCCTGCCAGCCTGCAGGAACATCCTGCCAGCCTGCCTGCCAGCCTGCAAGCACATCCTGCCAGCCTGCAGGCACATCCTGCCAGCCTGCAGGCACATCTTGCCAGCCTGCAGGCACATCCTGCCAGCCTGCAGGCACATCCTGCCAGCCTGCAGGAACATCCTGCCTGCCAGCCTGCAGGAACATCCTGCCTGCCAGCCTGCAGGAACATCCTGCCAGCCTGCCTGCCAGCTTGCCTGCCAGCCTGCAAGCACATCCTGCCAGCCTGCAGGCACATCCTGCCAGCATGCAGGCACATCCTGCCAGCCTGCAGGCACATCCTGCCAGCCTGCAGGCACATCCTGCCAGCCTGCAGGCACATCCTGCCTAAAATATACGATGATGTACTGTACATTTAGAAACAAATCTGGATCACAGGTCTGTGGAGTGTGGTTAGGCTTACGGAGTCAGCCGGTCCCTCCCCCACCACCGACACACCTCCCCCTCTCCCCCCACCCCAAACCCATACACACACACACACACACTCTCAAAGGTCACGTGGTTCATGGTTCACTTCAACACCCATATATCGCTTCCTGCCTGTCTGCCTCCTTCCCAGCCTGCAAGCCTGCCTGCCTGCCTCCTTCCCAGCCTGCAAGCCTGCCTGCCTGCCTCCTTCCCAGCCTGCAAGCCTGCCTGCCTGCCTGCCTCCTTCCCAGCCTGCAAGCCTGCCTGCCTGCCTGCCTGCCTGCCTCCCTCCCCGCCTGCAAGCCTGCCTGCCTGCCTGCCTGCCTGCCTGCCTGCAAGCCTGCCTGCCTGCCTCCTTCCCTGCCTGCAAGCCTGCCTGCCTCCTTCCCAGCCTGCAAGCCTGCCTGCCTGCCTGCCTCCTTCCCAGCCTGCAAGCCTGCCTGCCTGCCTGCCTCCTTCCCAGCCTGCAAGCCTGCCTGCCTGCCTGCCTCCTTCCCAGCCTGCAAGCCTGCCTGCCTGCCTGCCTCCTTCCCAGCCTGCAAGCATGCCTGCCTGCCTGCCTCCTTCCCAGCCTGCAAGCCTGCCTGCCTGCCTGCCTCCTTCCCAGCCTGCAAGCCTGCCTGCCTGCCTGCCTCCTTCCCAGCCTGCAAGCCTGCCTGCCTCCTTCCCAGCCTGCAAGCCTGCCTGCCTGCCTGCCTCCTTCCCAGCCTGCAAGCCTGCCTGCCTGCCTGCCTCCTTCCCAGCCTGCAAGCCTGCCTGCCTCCTTCCCAGCCTGCAAGCCTGCCTGCCTCCCCAGCCTGCAAGCCTGCCTGCCTCCTTCCCAGCCTGCAAGCCTGCCTGCCTCCTTCCCAGCCTGCAAGCCTGCCTGCCTCCTTCCCAGCCTGCAAGCCTGCCTGCCTGCCTGCCTCCTTCCCAGCCTGCAAGCCTGCCTGCCTACCATCATGCTAACGGGTAGTGTGTGCTAGGCTTATCTTCGGGAATGAGCCGGTCTCGCCCCCACCACCCACCCCCCTACATCCCATACTCTCTTTTAAAGGTCACGCGGTTCAACCGCGTGACTACCACTCACTCCCTGCCTGCCAGCCTGCCTGCAAGCTACCCTGCCTGCCTGCCTGCCTGCCTGCCTGCCTGCCTGCCTGTGCCTGCCTGCCTGCCTTCCCTCCCTAATTCTCACTACTTCCGTCCCTTTCTGCCTACCTCCTAGCATCTCTCCCTACCTCCCCCTCCCTCTTAGCATCTCTCCCTCCCTCCCCCTCCCTCCTAGCATCTCTCCCTACCTCCCCCTCCCTCTTAGCATCTCTCCCTCCCTCCCCCTCCCTCCTAGCATCTCTCCCTCCCTCCCCCTCCCTCCTAGCATCTCTCTCTCCCTCCCCCTCCCTCCTAGCATCTCTCTCTCCCTCCCTCCCTTTCTGACTAATTCTCCCCCCCTCTCTCATATTGCCTCCCACCTAAGCTCCCTCATCCATCCACCCACTGGTCAGCCATCACTGACGCAATGCGTGCATTTGGAGCCGACATGGTGCACAGATGTTTCTTGATTGTGCAGATATGTAAAACAAAAGCACAGAATGAACATTCCAGCCTTATGGCAATTCAAAATAATAGGAATAATAGGCCGTGAATCTGTGAAGTCACAGTAGGCAAACTGGACCATCTTCCACCCACCACAACAAGCCGGCGTGACGCTTGGCGGACCCCTTCCTACCCGAACTTTATTCGGGTAGCATGACTCCCCAACCCCAATCGGGAAACTGGAAGTTTCGGATAACTAAAGTTCGGAAACCAAGTGGTGCTCTGTATATATATATATATATATATATATATATATATATATATATATATATATATATATATATATATATATATATATATATATATATATATATATATATATATATATATATATATATATATATGTATATATATATACATATATATATATATACATATATATATATACATATATATATATACATATATATATATATATATATATATATATATATATATATATATATATATATATATATATATATATATATATATATATATATATAATATTGTAGATTAAATTTTAATTTCATTTTAATTAAATGCATTGAAAATAGTTGGGACATTATACTGCAGTTATGCTGTTTTCATCCTGAGTACAAAGAGCTTAGGAGCAACTGTGCATAGTCAGTGTTTTAATTTAAAATTTCCTTATCAGGATGCTTTTGTCGATGTTACTCTGGCGTGTGATGGAAAGTCTTTCTCGGCACACAGGGTTGTCTTGTCTGCATGTTCGCCATATTTCCAGGTGGGTTCTTAATGGTGTTGTTAATTTTTACTTTATATTAACATTGGTATCTCTGCTAGAATAGCTCTGTAAATTTATTTTAAAAATTGCCTTGGATGAATGAGGCTTAATGGAAAAGGTTTTATGTATACTGTATGCTATTTTTGCCTATTTCAAATCTTAATTCAGCACAGTTATAACCCTTCTTTACGAAAAAACTCTAGGGGAAAAAATCGACAGGTTCATAGCGTAAATGCGACCGTGCTTTGTTTGTACTCACCAATAAGTGAAGTCCTGATCCACTTTATAAAAGTCCTTAATTGTTCCTAACTGATTATTAAGACGACTGGCAAACATCCTCTGGATGTTTCCTGTCAGCCTGCAGGAACATCCTGCCAGCCTGCAGGAACATCCTGCCAGCCTGCCTGCCAGCTTGCCTGCCAGCCTGCAGGCACATCCTGCCAGCCTGCAGGAACATCCTGCCAGCCTGCAGGAACATCCTGCCAGCCTGCAGGAACATCCTGCCAGCCTGCCTGCCAGCTTGCCTGCCAGCCTGCAGGCACATCCTGCCAGCCTGCAGGCACATCCTGCCAGCCTGCAGGAACATCCTGCCAGCCTGCAGGAACATCCTGCCTGCCTGCCAGCTTGCCTGCCAGCCTGCAGGAACATCCTGCCAGCCTGCCTGCCAGCTTGCCTGCCAGCCTGCAAGCACATCCTGCCAGCCTGCAGGCACATCCTGCCAGCCTGCAGGCACATCTTGCCAGCCTGCAGGCACATCCTGCCAGCCTGCAGGCACATCCTGCCAGCCTGCAGGAACATCCTGCCTGCCAGCCTGCAGGAACATCCTGCCAGCCTGCCTGCCAGCTTGCCTGCCAGCCTGCAAGCACATCCTGCCAGCCTGCAGGCACATCCTGCCAGCATGCAGGCACATCCTGCCAGCCTGCAGGCACATCCTGCCAGCCTGCAGGCACATCCTGCCAGCCTGCAGGCACATCCTGCCAGCCTGCAGGAACATCCTGCCAGCCTGCCTGCCAGCCTGCAAGCACATCCTGCCAGCCTGCAGGCACATCCTGCCAGCCTGCAGGCACATCTTGCCAGCCTGCAGGCACATCCTGCCAGCCTGCAGGCACATCCTGCCAGCCTGCAGGAACATCCTGCCTGCCAGCCTGCAGGAACATCCTGCCTGCCAGCCTGCAGGAACATCCTGCCAGCCTGCCTGCCAGCTTGCCTGCCAGCCTGCAAGCACATCCTGCCAGCCTGCAGGCACATCCTGCCAGCATGCAGGCACATCCTGCCAGCCTGCAGGCACATCCTGCCAGCCTGCAGGCACATCCTGCCAGCCTGCAGGCACATCCTGCCTAAAATATACGATGATGTACTGTACATTTAGAAACAAATCTGGATCACAGGTCTGTGGAGTGTGGTTAGGCTTACGGAGTCAGCCGGTCCCTCCCCCACCACCGACACACCTCCCCCTCTCCCCCCACCCCAAACCCATACACACACACACACACACTCTCAAAGGTCACGTGGTTCATGGTTCACTTCAACACCCATATATCGCTTCCTGCCTGTCTGCCTCCTTCCCAGCCTGCAAGCCTGCCTGCCTGCCTCCTTCCCAGCCTGCAAGCCTGCCTGCCTGCCTCCTTCCCAGCCTGCAAGCCTGCCTGCCTGCCTGCCTCCTTCCCAGCCTGCAAGCCTGCCTGCCTGCCTGCCTGCCTGCCTCCTTCCCAGCCTGCAAGCCTGCCTGCCTGCCTGCCTGCCTGCCTCCTTCCCAGCCTGCAAGCCTGCCTGCCTGCCTCCTTCCCAGCCTGCAAGCCTGCCTGCCTCCTTCCCAGCCTGCAAGCCTGCCTGCCTGCCTGCCTCCTTCCCAGCCTGCAAGCCTGCCTGCCTGCCTGCCTCCTTCCCAGCCTGCAAGCCTGCCTGCCTGCCTGCCTCCTTCCCAGCCTGCAAGCCTGCCTGCCTGCCTGCCTCCTTCCCAGCCTGCAAGCATGCCTGCCTGCCTGCCTCCTTCCCAGCCTGCATGCCTGCCTGCCTGCCTGCCTCCTTCCCAGCCTGCAAGCCTGCCTGCCTGCCTGCCTCCTTCCCAGCCTGCAAGCCTGCCTGCCTCCTTCCCAGCCTGCAAGCCTGCCTGCCTGCCTGCCTCCTTCCCAGCCTGCAAGCCTGCCTGCCTGCCTGCCTCCTTCCCAGCCTGCAAGCCTGCCTGCCTCCTTCCCAGCCTGCAAGCCTGCCTGCCTCCCCAGCCTGCAAGCCTGCCTGCCTCCTTCCCAGCCTGCAAGCCTGCCTGCCTCCTTCCCAGCCTGCAAGCCTGCCTGCCTCCTTCCCAGCCTGCAAGCCTGCCTGCCTGCCTGCCTCCTTCCCAGCCTGCAAGCCTGCCTGCCTACCATCATGCTAACGGGTAGTGTGTGTTAGGCTTATCTTCGGGAATGAGCCGGTCTCGCCCCCACCACCCACCCCCCTACATCCCATACTCTCTTTTAAAGGTCACGCGGTTCAACCGCGTGACTACCACTCACTCCCTGCCTGCCAGCCTGCCTGCAAGCTACCCTGCCTGCCTGCCTGCCTGCCTGCCTGCCTGCCTGCCTATTATATATATATATAATATTGTAGATTAAATTTTAATTTCATTTTAATTAAATGCATTGAAAATAGTTGGGACATTATACTGCAGTTATGCTGTTTTCATCCTGAGTACAAAGAGCTTAGGAGCAACTGTGCATAGTCAGTGTTTTAATTTAAAATTTCCTTATCAGGATGCTTTTGTCGATGTTACTCTGGCGTGTGATGGAAAGTCTTTCTCGGCACACAGGGTTGTCTTGTCTGCATGTTCGCCATATTTCCAGGTGGGTTCTTAATGGTGTTGTTAATTTTTACTTTATATTAACATTGGTATCTCTGCTAGAATAGCTCTGTAAATTTATTTTAAAAATTGCCTTGGATGAATGAGGCTTAATGGAAAAGGTTTTATGTATACTGTATGCTATTTTTGCCTATTTCAAATCTTAATTCAGCACAGTTATAACCCTTCTTTCTCTTCATTTCTTGTCTGAACTGTCAATTTTTTAATGTATGATCCAACACGCATGCTTGAAAAATGTATATACAGAAATGTAATGTGTTAACAAGGCTTCAACTAGTTGCAGACTCAAAGGAAAAACATTTTGTAATAAATTGAGCAGAAGTAGAATTTATGAATCAAATGGAATCTGGTATCCCTGTATAGGAGTGTTGTGCAAGTTAAATTTGAAGTAAGTAAAAGGACTCATGATATTTTGAAGGATAATTTGAAGGATTTGAATAATCCACTCAAATGCCCCCTTAAAGAGGCCTGTTATGCTCAAAGTAAAGATTATGTAGCAATGCAATAGAACAAAGCAGTGAACCAGGCTAAAGTTAAGTGAGGAGGTGTTGTGAGTGTTAGAGATCTAACTTGTAAGGCGGAGTGACCGGCGGTCATAGGTCATCAGGGTTGACATGTCTACTATTTCTCAAAGTTCAATTAACCATTTTGGGGAACGGGAACAGCTCTGCCGTTAGATGCTTGTGTAATTTAATTTCAGTAAAATAATTCAACCAGTCTGGATCAATTAAGTACAACAGAGGTTAATTGTTATAACTTAAACCTTGCTAGTAACTTGGTGAAACTTTGACTAGGCGGAAGGTTACAATGCTCTAGTCTGGGCTAGGCCAGACGAGGACAGATCAGTGTGGACTCCAGAGCAACTGGGAGAGGTCAACCATCTTACCTCTCCCCAAGACCAGCCCAACATCTTTAGCTGGTAAAACATAGAGGTATAGTTGCTATTGTTATGTATAGGAATAGTCTCATTGCCATTCAGGTCAAGTAGGGAGTGTTAAAGTGACAGGGAGTGAACATATTTAGATTTTGTTTTAGTTTTCTTTTAATAAATTAATTAGTTAATAATTTGCATTTTTATTATTTCCATGTGTTTATGTGTATACTTGTCCTGGTCACGTGGTCCACACGAGGCAGAGTTGAATTGGGCGCCGATTCTAACATCGAATCTGAATTCATCATTACCGTGTAATTTATTCCACACTCAAGGTCATCGGTTATAGTGGGGATCCAGCCCCAAAGTTGATTAATTAGCGTGATCGATCCAGACCTCGATCATTGCTCGGTGTTACTGGTCTGGTGGTGGCGGCGGAGGCGACTCTAGGGTTTTGCTCGAAGCCTAGGTCACGTCATACTGGGTGTAGAATCCTAAGTCGGTCAATCGTCTTAGGACCACGTGGCGTGGAGTTGGCTTTGGTAAAAGTTTTGGAGTCCCTTGTAGAGAATAAAAAAGTAAGAATACGGGTAGAGGGGGAAAAGAAAGAAGGAAAGATTAAGTAGGTAGAGAAACACCCTACCCGTGTTACAACACAGTCAGTAAACGACACGATCTCCCTACCTCCCTCAACATTACTCCTCCTACACAGCGCTAATTATCAAACAATCCTGGTCATTTTTATCACAGTCAGGGGTCATCTGTAATACTGTCATCGCTAAATAATAGCAGTTACACATTTATTTTTACATTTTTAGGCGATGCTATGGTCACAAGCTGAATAGCAATGCTGTGGTCACAAGCTGAACAGCAATGCTTTTAGCTCATGCTGTATGTGCCAGCCTTGGTTGCTCCCACAGTACTGTGGCTCTCACACCGTAGAATATTGCCAACAGTTTAAAAAAAAAAATGTTGTCTGTTTACAAGAGCCCTGAGGAAGCTGATGTGAACCCCGTGTAGCAGTGGGGCATTTGAATCGTGCCTGGCACCCTGCATGGCATATATATACGCCATGCTCACGGTGGGACATGTTACTTGTGGCATATGCAGTATATACGCCATGCGCAGTTTAAGGGTTAATATTGCTTGTGATTAAAAATGGCTAAAGTCAAGACCATTTAAACAGACTAGCAATGCTCTAGAGTATGTCTATATGTCACTCTCTCTCTCTGTAGTATATAAGGCCCAGCCTAGTATATTGATGTCAAAAGTCATTTTCATGTATGGTTTAAAAGTCTTTTCATACCTAAGGCAAAGAACAATTTTAAAAAGGTTGACATGCCAATGAACAGCAAAATGGTATCTTTTCTTGATAACAGGCCATCTTATCCACATGAATGTGACCTAGTCAAGAGAAGTATGTCTGCTGTGTTCTATGTAATTGCTGGCATTGTGACTGCATGAACAGTTTTGTTTCTGGATGTATGAAGGTTGAATCTTGCCAAGTTGTTTGAAGTCATTAATTTTGATTTAAGGCTACATATAAGTTTGGTATACAAAGAGGAATTTTCTTTTAATTCAGTTTTTACTCTTATATTTGCAGACACTGTTTCAGACTAATCCATGCAAGCATCCAATTGTCTTCCTGAAGGATGTTAAGGGGCAGGAGTTAGAAGCTCTTATAGAGTTTATTTACAAAGGAGAGGTGAGATTTTTACTTTTATTTTAAATTATGTAATTCATTGATGTCTGTACAGTATAAGCTTCTTTTGCATCTTGTTCTTTTGATACACAATCATTTATTTGAGTGTCAGTCAGTGTCCACAATAAATGTTTATTGTCACAATATTACTTGTTAAAAATTCACTAAAATTACAATATGTAGTTTCACACACTATTTACACAGTAACACATTGTATTACACACTCAGTACTTCGGAAGTGAGTAATAATCAATGAAGTAGTCAATGGTACACAGCACGAATTCGCTCTCATTGCACCAGGTACAGATAGATTTTCGCTTCCTGTTTCTTCGTTCTGTGTGCTTGCAAATAACGCACTCACGTACACCCTTGGCATTAGTACCTGTAGGTGGTATGTAGCCAAGCTTGTAAAACATAAGGTAGTATTAAAAAGATTACAAGAAAAGATCAATTTGTAAGGTAGTCGTGAAAGATCGCTTTGTAAGGTCCCACACAGGAAGAAATTCACCCAGCCTCAAAGAGTCAAGAAGAAATTCAGGTATTCGTGAAATATCTATGGAAAACACCACCATGGAAGCCGCTAACACTGTTCATCTATGCTACTTGTATCAGATGCATCATCACTGAACGCAGAAAACGATTCATCTATGTATTGTCTAAATAAATTGGAGATAGGATAGCATAGGTGGGTAAGGATGGCGCTCAGAGCTACAATTGGATATGCTCGCAGTATCGTCCTCATAGGTGCTGTATCACTTGCATCTGACCTTTTGTGTTGGGTCCTTATTGTGCCTAGCTTCACCAATATTATGACCCTTATGTTCTTCAAACAGTAAGGTTTGAATTTTACCAACAGAGCGCGATTTTTCAACACCGCGTCGGACAAGTGTTTGGGAACCAGAGGCGCATGCGCCACCCATGGTTGCTCACTCAGTACTAACCCAGCCAGCAGCCCTAGGGTATTCTGGGAATTTTTCCAAGATGGCTGCCTCTCACTGGAGGTCCTAGGAGTCCATTTTGTGAACAACCAACCTCGCACACATTTAGAATGGGTACGAAAAAATAAAAGATAGTTTTCTCGGTTGGCGCAGTTTCCCACCGACCGAGAATACTTGGTTGGCGCAGTTAAGTGGTTAAACTTTAGTGCTAATTTAATACAGTACTTTCGCAGCCCCGGCAGGCGACCCGCCTTGCATCTCACGAGTGAACTCGCCACCACCCACAAACATTTATTCTCTTTTAGCTTTCTGACCTCACTTTACGTGCTACGTTGTTCAGTTTCATATCAAATTGTTCGCAATAGAATGCTCTAAAAGAATATGTGCATAAAAGGACATACAGGTCTCGCTTTCCTATACTTTACACCCACTGCGCACTGCAAGGTAGCCCGAGTGTTGTCCGAGAGCTCACCACTCCAATGTTTAGTCTCTTTTCAGCTTTCTAACCTCAGTTTCCATGCTACATCGTTTAATTCGGTATCAAATTGTTTGCAATAGAATGCTGTAAAGGGATATTTGCATATAAGAACATATGTCTCACTTTCCTATACTTTAGACCCGCCGTGCATCGCAAGGTAGGATGAGAGCACAAAAGAGGAGCACAAGAGAGCACAAGGTAGGATGAAAGCACCACACAAAAAATGTTTATACTCTTTTTCATCTTTCTGACCTCAATTTTCGTACTACTGCGTTCAGTTTGGTATCAAATTGTTCGCAATAGAATGCTGTAAAGGGATATTTGCATATAAGAACATACACGTCTCGCTTTCCTGTACTTTTGACGAAAACTTAATATCTTTTTCCTCATACATGTTTCTTTCAATGCATTCATCATGGATTGGCTCAGTTCTTGATCAGTATCTATCTGGAAGTCAATTTACAGTTTTTATGAAGCCAGTAACAACAAATACCTGAGATAAAATAACCGGAATGGGGAAACTGTTCGACTCGAGAGGAGGCCGCAGCTGTCACGAGCGAGGTCATGAATAGTGAGCCTCCAGCGTGGGTGGGTGCCCACATGGTGGGGCAAGGATACCACGTGGGGTATACAGAAAATGGGCAGAAGTTGGAGCTCATTTTAAAACAAGTCCCATGGAATTCGGACAATAAATGAAATTTCTATAATTTTTTAAAATTAATGATGCCATTTACATCATCAGGCATACTCCGTATTTTGGTTCCGTGACGGAATATGTGGCATTGGGCAAGTGTCAAGTGATCCATACTATTTATCTTCCTTTTGATGAGGAGTTGCGTCTGCACTCTAATCGTGTTCCCTGCCAATGTTATTTTTATTGCCTCCAGATATTATACCCTCTCTAATTTTGTCAAACAATTAAACCAACTGAAGTTGGCATGCATGCTTGTAGGTGTGGAATATTAAAGTTTTGCTAAAAGAATGTTTAGAATTTTGTTTAGAAAAACATACAGAATAGGTTTTCTTGACAGCCATTTTATTTGTCTGATTCAGTTAAATGTAAAAGAGCAGGTACTTATGTATCAAATTTTATTGTAACTTTATGAGGGATTGCATGCTATTTTGTCTTAACTATTGATTATTCTCCTTTTTTTTTTTATTCCTAACAAAACATAAGTCTTGTGCATATTACAGCACCCTGTAATCATTATACACCCTGTGCTTATTACAATACCCTGTATCCTGAGATATACCAGCCCAGTAATACCAGTCTTGATTGGTATTTGTCCAAACATATCTGCTCTAGTTATATCCTGTTTCTAAAGGGGCATACGGTGACTCCCTTGAAACAAGCTCGATGAGATAGTTTGCCCCCTACTGTATCACATCAGCCTTAGGAGTCCTGTATGGCCTACTGAGGATGAGAGCCAGAACCTGACCCCCTTCACAGAGGCACAGGGAGTAGGAGATTGTTGTGATCACTCTCACTGAGACAACATCTAGAAAGTAGGCAAAGATATACAGACAACTGGAAGGTTCAAAGAAAGCAAAGCCTTGAAATAGCCAAACGACTCTGTTAATGATTCGCTAAGACAAAAGGTGTAACCCCTCTCTTAGTTATGGCTGGCCACTAACAGGTGGCAAGATCATCTGGAGCTCCAGCTTCCATATCATCTTAGCCTCAGTCCTCTTGCTGATGTCATTGAATGTGGACCTCTCCTGAGTCACTGGCTTTAGTGAGTCCCTCTTCTTTTCAAGAATACTGTAGGCCATCTTCTGGACACTGTTCTGTGGGGACCATTTGCTGATGTGTTTTTCCTGCCTTTGGTATTTATTTCACAAGCATGTTTTTCAAGCTTCACTTATTGTGTAGACTTTGTTTATTCTTCACCTTGAGTTACATGTGGTGTAGGGCAGCCTCTCCCAGAGTGCTTATTTTGGAATTGCCCCTGCTTTGACAGTGATTTCTCTGGTGAGTTTGGGAGTTCACACCCGAGCTGCCATACTACTGTGTAGGGGTGCAGTGCCCTGGGGTAGTTGCAAGGATATTTGACTCCTCTTTGAGGCCCTGTGATTGAGGGCATTTGGGGTTTGGATATGGCGTACTTTAGGGTTCATGTACTTGTCTATATGGCACCCTGCTAATGCCCTTCGCAGTCACATTTACCCCCTGATTTATGAATCAGTTCTGCATTCTGTATCATTTCTTTCGGAAAGCATTCCAAATGCCTGGATGTCCTGCTTCAGTATTCCTTGAAGCCCTGGTAAGCCCCGCTAGTCTTTGGTGCAGCTTGTGGTGGATAGACCTGCAAAGCCTGCACCCGCTATCTGCAAGTTTGAAGATAACCTTACTACATACTGATGGTCATTCTTTCTGTCTGTACCATGCTGCTTGTAGGGTTGGTGAGGCCTTTGACTCCCTACAGACTCCCTTGACTCCGGGCCTCCCTCCCTTTGAAGGCCTACAATGTTTGCAGTCACTGGCTTCCTATTTCAGAATATTGGTTAAAAGAGCATACTGATCTAGAGAAACACCAGGTCACGTATAGAAAGATCAATAATTAGGTTTTGCCTGCAAGTTTTTTTATACATGATCTGATTTGATAAGGCCATATAGACAAATTAAGTCTTCTCTTAGGCAAACTTGGTAATGTCTTCATTTTGTAATACTATTTTTATTTTGTGATGATAGACATTCCTGGTCTCCTATGCTTTCTTAATTGCTATCATGAGATCAAACCTTATCTGGTTAATTTTTTGCTCTTCTGCATAGCTAATCTGGGAGTTCTGCAGTGGTGGTGTAGAATCTGGTCACTAACTCTTACTGTATTAAATTAGTAAATTTTACTGTCTGACACTGTTAACCCTTCGGCAGCAATCATTGTCATGTGTTTATTCATGACTATTGCGGTGGCTGAAATTATTTTGAGCTAAAATTACTTATTTTAGTAAATGAAAAATACTAAATTTCTTTTCATTTTTCAGGTCAGTGTATCGCAGTCCGAGTTAGCATCTCTGATAAGCACAGCTGAAAATTTAAAAATTAAAGGTCTTGCTGAACCTGACAGACCGACAGAAAAGAATGTTAAAAGAATAGCATCACCTCCAAGACCTCAACCTCTACCCTTACCCCCACAGTCCTCCCCAGCAACTACTGTTGGGGTACCTCAGCATCTTCAGGTGTCAAAATATCCTCAGTCTAGTCCTGTTGCCAAACGGAAAAAATCTGAACAATTTAATGTACAGAGTAGTTATGTTGGTATGAGAGAAAACCAGGAGGAGGTTGTGACTGTTGAAGCCGGTAACGGTGAAAATTTAAGCCTCCGTGGTGAGAACCTTAGTCTACGTGGTGAAAATTTAAGTATTCGTGATCACTCGGCTCCCCAGGTGGTGTTAGTTCCGTCACATGAACCTCCACATCAAACAGACATTTCATCCCACACACCCCAGCCTTATGCTAGTCACCACGGTCCCATCGCAGCTTCCGAGGGTGTTTTATACTCGGTCTCAGGGACAGCCATATATGCGGGCACAGCTCAAGTTAGCTCATCCAGTCGAGGGGAGCAATTAACTCGTGAAGTATATCCACAAACTGATCAGTACCACAGTAGTGATGAGGGGACACTGCCAGGACCTTCAGGTGTACAAACGCAACAACATGCAGAGACTTCCATGGTGAGTTACAACCTTTATAATTTATTTTATTCATTATTTAAATATTTATTTAAAATAATAAAAATCATTCAACTAATGTCATGTTGTCTTCTCTGAATCAGAGGGGTATTTATTGATTCATTTGGCTAGTACTGGCTGAGAGGAATAAAAGAAAAGATGAGAGAAAATAGGGTAAGGTTGCTAGTATCCAGCCACTTTGTTTCTACATTGCTTTTTTCTGTAAATGTCAAATTAAAAAATGTAACTACTTACTGTATTACGTTACTGGAAAAATGTGTTGTAAATTGAAAAATAAGACAAATGATCCACACAATAACATCAGAATTTATTTTATAGATGCAGTACTCACAAAGATAATAACTAAAATACATTGGCCACTATCTGACCACTGTGGTATTGAGGGCTGCATACAACCTTAGTATCCTCTATAAAAGAGAAATGACTATGCAAACCAGCAAATGAAGGGCACTACAGACATCTGTATTCAAGTTCTCAAGTCTTAAAAAGAGTGAAGGTGCCACCAGCAGTTTCTCAGGTGGGATTCCACAGGATCAGTGTCCATCTACAACACTGGTCTCTCACGATGAAAGCCATCCCTTTCTCAACAAGGCCTGGTGTAGATATCAGGGGTGGTCATCGAGGGCTAAGAAATAATTGTGTTCATCCTCATTAACTCTGACATTGCTCCCATCACTTCCATCTCCTGGAGATAATTTAAGGTGTCATTTGATTAAAAAACCTGGGGGTGGGGGACATCATTCTACGGGAGGGACATCATTCTATGAGGGGACATCACTCAACATGGGGACATCATTCATAGGGGGGATATCGTTCAACTTGAGACCTCCATTGATCATTTGCCATTTTTGAAAAAATCCTTAGTGTCTTAGTTTCCTTACAGGTCCTTAATAAGGAAGATGCAGACCATGCCTAGCACATCAACAATGTGCAGAGTAGTTATGCTAGGAACTGTTGATGCTATGCAAAATTGCAAGAACTTTGATAGACTTGGAAGAGCTTAGTGATAAAGAGGAATGCGTATATAACATGTAAATATCTTGAATATTATCCCTCGGAATATGAAATATGCTGCTCTAACAGCAAGGGAAGAGAGCCTGAGGAGTGAACGTGTAGATGGTGACTAGACACGATGCTGCACTGATGACATGTACTTCCAGTTACCAATTGAAACATTTGTTGCAACAATATGAGGCAGCTTCAATTTATAGTGATGATGATGCTAATTTGATTATGCTAATTGTGACCATATGTTAGTGTTCATGGTGAAAGATAGTGCTATAGCCCCGTTGGTGGTTGTAGAAGGAAGAACTATTTTCATGTTGTCAATTGAAGCTAATTTGCTTCCACAAGCACTAAATGTGATGAAAATAGTAATATTGAGATTTGTTTATAGTATTGTGAGTATAGGAGTTTGTGGTGTAAGTATGCAAGCTAGTCCCATGCATTATGTATCATTTACCTGGCAGTTGTTGAAAAGGAATATTGTCTATGACACTTTACTGACTACCGACCACCTGTTACAGTGTGAGCCTTCGAAATTCAACATTGGCTGTTTATCTCCAGTAACTTTAAATCAGTAGAGTTTTGCTGGGTTCCCAGCCATGTTAGTGTTTCTTTAAATGAGCGTGTGGACACTCCCGCTAGGGAAGCTATCCACTCTTGTCCCATCTCCCGTAAAGGTATTCCTTATTCCGACTTGTACCCAGTTATTCATTCCTCCATCCTTGCCCGTTGGCAGGATTATTGGTCTTCTGTTGTTGGTAACAAGCTGCGTACTCTTAAACATAGTGTATCCCTGTGGCCTTCCTCCTACCACTGTAACCGGCAACGGAAAACGGCTCTGGCAAGGTTGCATATTGGCCATACATGCTTAACTCACGGTCACTTAATGGAGCGCCGCCCTGCTCCCTATTGTCCAAATTGTATTGTCCCTCTTACAGTTGTGCATATCCTTGTTGAATGTCCTGACTTCCAGGACCAGCGCGTGTCTTGCTTTCCGACCGTCTCTCGCGGTCACATGTCCCTTGATAGAATTCTTGGTGAATCGAATACTTTTGATAACGTTCGCCTTATGTTTTTCTGTTCTCGTATTGGCATCCTTGGTGATATTTAGCGCCCTCTGATTATTCCGCACATTTGATGGTGCTACATAGCCGTCCCGGTTTGGTGCCTTCTTTTGATAATTACTGTACTTATAGTGTGAGCCAGGTCACAAATTTAATGATTGATGTGCAAAAAAGAGAGAGTGACTTAGGACCTTAGAAAAAAATATTGCTGATGGCATATGGTGCATTAGGAGTGATGTTTGTTCTCTGCATTTTAAACATTTTATACATATGTTCTTCTAGAACATTCTTTTGCGAACACATTGGTACAAAAATAAAATATGTACAGTACATCGAAAATTAAGGTCAGCACAGTAAAAAGAATATACAATTTTCAATACTGGTTTCGCCGATGTGCCGTTGTGTTTGCGGTAATGGGTAACACTTCGCCCACTTCCCACACTCTTGCGGGTGGGCCGCGATCATGATTCTACATTTATATGCATATGTCCGTGTAGGGAATTTTATTGCGATCTCAGTGATAACAAATTTAATGCTGTAGGACAAGTGTGGAGTTGACAACCCTGAAAAGAATGGAAACATCTCGTCGCTGTTTGGAGCTCACGGCTAGTGATCGACGTAATTTCTTTATCTGGTGGTGGTCTAACTTATGCTTTGGTGACATTTTATACACATGTTCTTGTAGAATATTCTACTGCTATTCTATTGAATATTGTACACTGGTACAAAAATGAATTATGTACATCGAAAATTAAGGTCAGCGCAGTGAGAAGAGTATACACTTTTCAGTGTTGCCGCTCGATCGCCCGAAACGCTGAGAGCACTTTGCGCTAGTTAATTTTCAGTTTGCCAACAGCGCGAAAGTGTTAATAGCAATAACACTGCTATATGCAGTTGTAATATTTAGGTTCATATAAACATTAGCATGAATAAGTACAGGGCGTGTGTATATTTATACTTGTATATCTGCATACATGTACAGTATGCACAGATATACGTTAAGTTATATATACAGTATAATGAATAAAACATGAGAATACCATACAATACAACATGAGTATGAAAAAATTAAATAAGTAAGAAACAATGCAAATATATGGAGAGAGTTATTCCTGTGCGGCGCCTCACCTTGTTACTCGCCTTCTTGCAACATGAACTAGCCACCTGGCCACCCAGCCACTGAATCCACACAACTTCTCTGGGCCACGATAGAGACTTTTTCCATGATATTTCGTGCTTCCTAGATGCTAATTAAAAATGTCATAAGAGAAATAGATTTTTCAGAACAGTTTTTTCATCACATAACAGACAACACATTGAAATTACCTGTATTGTTAGAGGGTTATCATATACACAGAGTACCTTAGCCAGCCTACATGTGGATTTCAAGGATTTCCAGAATAATGTCTGATCCTCCAGCACCCTGGAAGATCGTTTATAAGGGACAGGAACCTGATCCCATGCTCACAATATCCTCCTCTTTTCACTATCGCACCCACAATGGCTGAGTTGCTCGTTGCGTTTGTCTTTGCTGCCAACATGTTCCAATGTTTTCATGGTCCAAATGTTATTTATACTACACACTTATAGAAGTACAGACTGGATTTCTACATTTATCACTTACCCAGTATATTTTAATAATGTTTTCTAAACACAAATGTTTCTATACGAACTGAAGTACTTGTTCACATTCATCTAGAGGGGGAACAATTCACCTATGGTAAATATACCTACTGTAATTGTGCTGGCAAGCTACTGATTTGGTGGGAGTTTCAACTGCACTGTTTTGTAGTGCTTATCAGCAAAATACATTAAAAGGGTCTTTTCCTTACACTTTTATTCCAACAAGCAGAGTCCTGACTAAAGAGTATCCACAGAGTCTTGTGACAGACTGTATGCATGGCCTAAATATGTGTGCCAATAAGACCTCAGCACTAAGGTAGGAGATAATGTTCCAGATGTCACCATCAAGTTAGTGGCCCAATTGAGAAGTATCCAAACCATGCCAAAGGCTACGCTAAGCAGCCACTGAGAAGATAACTCGGAAGGTTTTCTGCCCCTGTCATTTAGGTTGGTGTTGTGGGTTGTGTGCTAATCTGTAGTTAGCATATCCATATTTGGCTGTCTGGGCAACCCCAGTGATTGCTCACCGGGAGTATTGATTGGTTTGTTTCTGTTCTTCCATTTTGTAGTGAATAGTCACTCAGGGGGTGGACTGAGACAGATTCTGCACTGCCTTCCAGCCCCACCTACATTGCAATACTCTTTTTAAAGATAACTTGTTATGGTAGGACATAGAGTGGAGAAGAGCCTTGTATGTGAGCAGTGTCCTGGGTGGACCCTGGCCTTGGCAACTCGTTGCTTAGATCATAAATGTCACATCTCTGTATTATTAGGAAAATACAATAACATTAGAAGTTAATTAATGTTTGCCATACAATAGGGAAATTATTTGATAATATTTACATGTTTTACACCTTGCATGTGGTAAGGTATGACAATAAATGGCTTTTCAAATAATTATGTTTTAACAAAATTCACAAGTGATGCTCTGCTAACTCATTCATTCTATTTCATTGAAGTCCATCAGGGTGACTGATAGACTTAAACCCTTGGAATGCTGTACTGGTCAAGTATAGCATATTTTATCAGTTTGCAGTTTTGAGGTGCTGCTCTCTGCTTTGCTGTTTTTTTGGCTGCTGTCTGGTAGTGGTAGACAGATGATCCACCATATATGCTGGCATATTCCACAGCCCAAATATCAGACTATTATTTGTTTACAAATATTTCAAAACTTGAATGGCACCTGAGGGGTAACACAATATGACCACCAGTTCCACATCTTACTGTAATCAGAGAAAATGTTAAATTCGGTAATCCATCATTGTACTATGACATACCATGGCACAACAAATATCAGGTATTATTTCTTTTAGGATATGCTTGGGAGAAGAACTGGATCATCGTCCACAGGTCGCCATGAGCTGACCAGCAGTATGGTGATGTCAACAAAGTGTGATGATACATGCTCACTGTCAATACCCCAGGTGAAGAACAAGCGTTAGATAGTGGATCTTAATTTTTCTTGAAATTGTCTTTTAAAATTTGAATTAAAATAGCTTTTAGAATATAAAAAATATACTGTATCCCTGTCACTTGATAACGTGGCCAATCATTAGCATGTAAAACAATGTAAATTAGATCTAAGAAATCTGTCTTAGGAAAGAGTGTGGCACTGTTTTCCTGGCTTTTGTTTTCCTACTGTTTGTTAGTGATTATCTCTATAAATCTTTGGTCATTTTGCATCAGGTCTGGAATGCATCTTAAAATGCCATTAGGGTGAAGTTGCATAGTAGTAATTTTCATGTTATCTAAAGGTAATGCAGCTGCTCCATAATTACTCTAGGAGTAACTAAGTTGTTCTATAGTGATGAGGGGTAATGAAGCTGCTCCATAGTTATTCTAGCAATAATTAAGCTGTTGCACAGTGTTTCTAAGGAAACTAAATTGTATACTTTAATATATCTTTCCTGGAAAATTAAACTGATGTTCAGTGGTACAGGACAGCTTTATTTAAGAGCCTGAAAAACTTCAGTAAAGGAAAATATCTTATATTGGCAGGCAAATGTGCTTGGTCTGTGATCATTGCTTTTAAGGTTGATACAGCTTTTTATAAAATGTTGTGTTCATGTATTGCCTATGGTTCATGGTATATGGTTCATTTTGATATACTGTAATTCAATTATCTATTTGGTTTTTGTATTTTAATATATGTTTTTTGGAGGAACCTCTTGGTGGCTCTATGAACCCATCTCACTGAGATGGGTTCTCACTACTGAGTCACATCAGCCATAGCAGTCCTGTTTGACCTATTGGGGACCAGAGCCAGAACCTGGCCTTCTCATATAGGCGAGTCCCACTTCTTTTGCATGAAAAGTGTAGCCCATCCTTTGGACTCTGTCCTCTGGGGGGCTATTTGCTTGTGTTTCGTTCCTATTCTTTAGTATTTGCTTCACATGCATGTGTTTTCAAGTGTCACTTGTTGTACTGACTTGATTTCATATTCGCTATAAGCTGCATGTGTTTAGGACATTCCTTCTGTAAGTGCTCGTTAAGTGTTGCCTCTGCACTGACAGAGTGACTTCTCTGGTGTACACACAGAAATCACAATAGCATGATACATCAATAGCGTAACAGAGACTAAGGCGCGTCTGGGATCATCCTGGATGTAGGTTCGAACCCTCATACAGCCCTTGTGAATTTGTTCTCTGGAGTGTTTGGGAGTTTGCCTCTGAGAGCCCAGGCTCCTCTGTAGAGTGTCTCACCCTGGAATGTGCAAGAATCTCTTATTTTTCTGTGATTGGGAGTGTTTGTGGTTTTATTGTTATGGGGTACATTAGAGTTCATGCACTTGTTCATATGGCATACTGCTAATGCCCTTCGTAGCCGAGCTCATTTTGTAGGCCGCATTTGGCATGAGCTCTTTAGGTGAGCATACCTAGGGCCTACGTATCCTGCATATTTACACTCCTTCAGGCCCTGGTGACTTCCATGTAGTGGGGCTCATAATGGATCGACAAGTCAAGCTTGCATTCATTACTTGCGATTTTGAAAGGTTCTCATCAGCTTTGCTACATGCTAAGTCATTTCTTTCTGTCTCTGTCATACTGCTTGCTGATTCAATGATACCTTTGACCCCAAGTCCTGTGACCTGTGCTCATTGGGTCTATATTATCTGAGCCTGCCTCAATACAGGAGGCTAATCAGGCAACTGCCACTTTGTGGACTAATTTTTCATGTATTGATGGTTCTTGGCTTGGTGCTCGAATGGATGCTCACGAGTTGGCCCCCATGGTGTCTAGGGACCTGGACTTCAAAGGGTTGGTGAAGTCCCCCTGTTCTCATAAGTTTCCTTCCCCCCCCCCATCCTCCTCCTTACCCTGCTGGTTTGCTTTGTCCATTGTCTAGGTTTTACACCTTGGTTCAGACTCGGAAGCATCTGAGAGTTTTAGTCTGGTCAAGGTCTAGCTTTGAATGTAGTTTAAGTTCCTCCAAAGGCTGCCTCATCTACATCCCTTCCCACCAGGGATTCAGAGCCTTCTACTTCACAGGGGAAGTTCACCTTGCTCCCTTGCTCCAATCCTTCTCTGTGGGATGATATCTTCCTGTCTTGGGCATTGGGCATGAAACATAGCTCTGCTCTGGGGTCATCATGACTGATCCCTGGGATTGAAGGGAAGAGTGAGGAGGGTCCATGGGTGCCCTTTAGTCCTTCCTGGACTTTGATACCATCTCCCAAGGGTGTTTTCCTCCATTGGGAGGATTCTCTTATCGTTGTTCTTTGCATGTGCTAGATTACTCAGCAACATTCCTTCTGGGTGTGCCATTCAGTTTGTAGAAACGTTCAATTTCCAGAGGTTTCCATTGCCGCACCTTTCACCATTTTCAGCAAGGGTGAACATTGTCCAGTTCCTTCTACTGGATCAGCACATTTCTTCCCTTGTGAATCTGGCCTCCTTCGAGTTTGGGTCTACCAAGTCTTTTGGCTTGGGTACGAGGTCCGTGATTCATTCTGGCTTGCTGCTGACAACCCTATTCTTTCCTTGGTGGGGTTGGCATGGCTTCTGCCTTACACAGATGCTTAAGTGGCAGGAAGTGGGTTCTGGCTTTCAGTAGTTCTTGGGTGGGGTTTCTTTTGTACTGCTTGAGAACTACTTGCTTGCTCTGGTGCTCCCTAAGGATGTGGGTATGTGTTATCTCCATGTCCAGCTGCCTGTGCTTTCTGGAGCCCTCACTGCAGAGGATCATAGGGCTAGCACCCATTTAGCAATTTTTTTGTGCATATGGGTGGTTGAGCTGTTCTCTTATCAGCTCAGTGGCAACCTGGATGTTCTGGTGTGGCTGCCTTGGTGTCTGCAGTTCCGGCTTTGGTGGCACTGCCCAAGTTGTTCAAAATATGTCTATCTATAATAGGAATGTTAGCTTCACACATATATGGACAGATGGTGAGAGTGATTACCATAAATTAATATACTGCATATTTTGTACTCATTTAAATTAGGACAATGATATTTGTTAGTAATGTTCCATTTGCTTTTTCTCTCTCTCCTGTGGGGAGCCCCTCCAGCTCCCTGGAGCTATCGGATTGATATACGCTATATTAGTGTGGGGGCATCAGTCAATGGAGTTCAGCCTACCGGGGACAACGAGCCAGACCCTAACCCCCTCAGAGAGGCACAGGGAACAATGGCCTATGGAAACCCTCATGTGTTTTGGAGCATTCCATGCCTGCCATTGACTGTGGTTAGGCACCCAAAAAGGTAGGTATAAGAAAACAGACCTCACTTGATAAGAAATTGCAACTGTAAACCAAACAGAGGCAGAACTCCCCCAACCCTAAAGAAACAAGCAAAAGTCATACACCGCCACTGTGCCGCTTGTCCGCACAGCTCTCCCTTTCCCGGGAGGAGGAAGGGGAGTGCCCCAGACCCCCCCTCACACCGGCTGCTCACACCTCATTTTGTAGGCTGATGTGCTCTGGGACGGTCATCAGCTCTAACCTCGATTTCTTGGCAGCTTTTGTGCCTTCATGGTGTTTCCTGCTCTTTGTGGTGCGGTGGCCAGGAGTAACTACAGTGTTCTGGGGCTGCATGTGCTTAGGGCTACCTTCCCTAGGTGCCCTGTAAATACTACCCTTGGGTTCTAGGGTTCCCCTTCCATAGAACCTTTCGGGACTCTACTTCCGTAGGGGTTCTTGCTGCTTGGCATTTACCCCACCCTTGGGACCAGCTGGAGTTTCGTGGCCTTTGTTTGCCCTTGGGCAGGAAGTGGTGGTGTTGGCGGTTGGGGCACAAGGTGCTGCGCTGCTTGCTTACCTATGAGGCAGCCGTGTTTTTGTTCCTTCTGGTGGCGTTGTACTTTTGCAGGGTTTCTTGCCAAGAGGGGGTCTGCCTTGTTTGGCTATTAGTCCATTTAGCATATATTGGTGGCCCTCCTCTAGGCCCCCGTGCTTGTACACATCACAGGGGTCCAGTTCTCATAGCTCCAGTCCAGGAGGCTGGGTCCAGTGGCCGGCTTCCTCTTTGGGTTTTTCAGGATTCAGTACCTTGGCGCCTACTCGAGCCCTCGCTCAATGTGTTCACGGATGCCTCATCTCTTGGCTGAGGTTTTGTGACCAGTGCTCACCAGGCTGGAAAGGGGCAATGGGCTCCGTCCTTCCGTCGGGCTTACGGCACGGTGTGTGAGTTCGCGGAGGGTTTGGGTCGCTCGGGGATCAACGATCCAGCTCCATTCGGACTGCACTCCGGTGGTTCATTGTCTGAACCACGTGGGTTCTCTTCAGTCCTTGGCTCTTTAGGGCTGGTCACTTCAGGTGACTTGTCTGCTGGATTCTCGGGATTTGGCTCTCTGTGCTGTTCATATCTAGGGAGTGTCCAACGTCCTGGCGGATGGCCTGTCTCGGTTCATTCCCATGTCTATGGAATGGACGGTTGACACCGACTCCTTCAGTTGGCTCTGCCAGACGCACAGGCTCCAGGAGGTGGACCTCTTCGCTTCGGCGTGGTCTTGGCGTCTCCCAATATATGTGGTGCCCTTCCCAGACTGCGCAGCCATTGCTGTGGATGCCTTTTGGCAGGACTGGTCTAGGTGGGGTTACCCATATCTCTTCCGTCCAGCTGTTGCTTCGGGTTCTGGCTCTTTTTGGAGTTATCAGTTGTTCGGTGTCCGAACCTGGGGCGTTTTCCGTGGCTCCGGCTCTTTCAGCAGATTGAACTGCTCCAGTACATGGCTGGTTTAGTCTACTCCTCCATTCTTCATGTCTGTTTTTTTTTTTTTTAAACGGGTGTATCACCACTTGTATGTTGAAGCGAAGCCAGTCCAGCTTGCATTCAGGGTGGATGTCACTTGTGCCCTGTTCCGTAAGCTTTCTCGTGCTTTGTTTTACCTCCGGCCTGCTCATGTGCCACTTGAGCCATCCTGGTCCTTGCACCAGGTGCTCTCTTTTCTCTCTTTTCCTTGGTTTGTGGTGTGGCCCCTTTGGTTCAGGATTATTTTTCCAAGGCTATGTTTCTGTTGACATTGGGGTTTCTGGGGATCGGGTTGGTGAGCTTACGCTCTCCTCTGGCACAGGAGTTTCTGCTCTTTCGGTCCTGGTTGTCTTTTGTTCAGTTGTTCGGTTGCAGTTGTCTCTTTTTCTGGCAAACAATGAGACAGCAGCCTTCCGGAGGGGTCCTTGGGTCATTTATGCATGGTTGGTCAGGCCGGGGGTGCATCGTGTGTTGTGTTCGGTTGTGGCTCTTCGCCGTTATCTGCTCGCCTAGGTTTCTGTGGCCGGGGATGCGTTTTGGGTTGATCTGGTTTCCCTCGTTCCCTGTTCCAGGGCTCGGGTCTTCCTGGCTGTCTGCAGAGTTATTAATTAAGTCTGGCCAGCTTGCAGTCTACCCTCATGCCCATGATGTTCATAAGTTTACTGTTTTGGCTGCCGTGTTCTGCAACATGTCTTGGGCTGACATTCAGGCACGGTTTTTGGAGGTCGATCAAGGTTGTGGCCGCCCATTATCTGGTCAATATTCCTGGTCCCGGTCGTCGTGTGTGGCTTTGGATCGTTGTCTCGCCTTTGAGTTGATGTGCGTGTGGCGACCGCTTCCCGGATTAGTCCCTCTTTTTGCATGGTTAGGTAGGTCCAGGGAGGCGAAGGGGCTTCCCATAGAAAACCAGCGTTGAATGTAATGAAACATGATTTTCTGGGTGAGCCCTGGGGGCTTCCTGGCACCCTCCCTCCCTACCTCCAGTTGGCGGTTTTCGTTTTTGATGCTCAGCCTCCGAACTGAGGCGTGAGTAACCGGCGTGGGGAGTCTGGGGGCTTCCCCCATTCCCTCCCTTGAAGGGGTGAGCTGCGCAGACAAATGGCGTGGAGGCGGTGTGTGAGATTATCTTGTTTGCTTGTTTCTTTTGGTTTGGGGGAGTTCTGCCTCTGTTCGGTCTTTGGTTGCAGTTTCTTACCAAGTGAGGTCTGTATTGTTATGTCTATCTTTCTGGGTGCATAACACCAGTCGATGGCAGACGTAGAATGCTCCCAAACACATGAGGGGTTTCCATAGGCCATTGCTCCCTGTACCTATCTAGTTGTACTTACCTAGTTGTGCTTGCGGGGATTGAGTTTTTGGCTCTTTGGTCCCGCCTCTTAACCGTCAATCTACTGGTGTACAAATTCCTGAGCTTCTCGAGCTCTATTATATCTACATTTGAAACTGTGTATGGAGTCAGCCTCCCTCCACCATATCACTACCTAGTGCATTCCATTTACTAACTACTCTGACACTGAAAAAGTTCATTCTAATGTCTCTGTGGCTCATTTGGGTACTCAGCTTCCACCTGTTTCCCCTTGTGCGTGTACCTCCCGTATTAAATAGTCCATCCTTGTCTACCCTGTAAATTCCCCTGAGAATTTTGTATGTGGTGATCATGTCTCCCCGAGCTCTTCTGTCTTCCAGCGACGTGAGGTGCAGTTCACGCAGCCTTTCCTCATAACTCATGTCTCTTAGTTCTGGGACTAGCCTAGTGGCATATCTCTGAACTTTTTCCAGTTTCGTCTTGTGCTTGACAAGGTACGGTCTCCATGCTGGGGCCGCATGCTCCAGGATTGGCCTTACATATGTGGTATATAAGGTTCTGAAGGATTCCTTTGAAAGCAGTTTTGATGTTAGCCTGTGCCTCTCTGAGGGGGCCAGGTTCTGGCATGTGGTCCCTAGTAGGCTGAACTCCTTTGACTGATGCCCCCAGACTAGTATAGCATATATCAGTCTGATTGCTCCAAGGAGCTTCCGGGGCTCACGCAGAAAATGGCATTTCATTGCATTCAATGCTGTTTTTTTCTTCCAGACTATAAAACTAGAACCATCAAGTGGAGGTGTTCCAACAGAAACTTGGGAAGGAAGTAACCAAAGTTATGAAGATGGAGGGGGAGGCATAGGTGGATCAGGAAGTGGCTCAGGGGTTGTGCCCACCACTGGTGACCCTCTAACAATGCAGCTCCCCCTCCATACTGAAATGACAGAATCTTCTCAGATGCACGACTCCTCTAGAGTAAGTGTTAATTTATTTACTTGTACTGATGTAGATTTTTCAAGTGCTACTTTTCTGTGTTTTAAATCACATTTATGAGAAAGAATTTGGTCACCCTATAAAGCCAACTGGATATTAGTATTAATGCAGTTAAATATAGCATAGAAAATGCTAATCCTTTGTTTCCTGCAGAAAAGTAGTACGTATGCATGACTTTCTATTCTTTGTTGTTCGTGTGCTTTAACAGTAGCTGTACAATGTAAGTGACAAACTTCTGCTGGTGTTGGCTGGCCAGGTTCCTAGAGTATTTGGGGTCTCCATTTAGTTCATTATTTGATCACTCCACTTTATAGTGGGTGTCCAGTGAGCACTAGATGACAACTAGGTCAGTACAACTAGGTCAGTACAGTATGTTGCTTTACAATGTATATATAGTATTTGACTTTAAAATGTATATACAGCATTTACATTCATAATGTATATACAACATTTAGCTTCATAGTGTACATACAGCCTTTTACTTCATAATGTATATGCAATATTTGGCTTATTATGTATATACAGCATTTGGCTTCATACTGTATATACAGTATTTGGCTTCATAAAGTGTATACAGAGCATTTGGTTTTACAATGTATATTATGCTCTGTAGCATATATTAGGCTTTATAATATGTATATTAAACTTATTCTGTAATGAAATATCTATTGCACCTTTTAAGTAATTTGGATAATGGAGAGGTCACTGTATACAGTATATAAAATACTAGGTGAATATAAAGTTTGTCACGTAAGGAAATGTGTTTGATAAGTACTGGACAAAAATTGAGAAAATGTCTTAATACAGCTGTATAACTCTGTAAACTAAAGTAGTTGTAGGGAATATTTCATCAGTGCCCTATGTGTGCTCAGCAGTTTTACTACGAAGTGCCAGGCTTGTTGGACGGGCGTTTCTTGAGGCATGACTCATCTGAGCGGGGAAGATAGTCATGTTGAACTCTGAAATTGCATTTTGGTTTATTAATTAGAATAGGAGGGATATCATTTTCAATGAAAATAAGTTTTCTGTTATGAATCACTACCCTGAGTTTTCCTACATTATTGAAAATAACACCTAGTACTGTAATTGGAGAATTTTTTTTTTATATTTTTTTGTAAAGTGAAGCATTGTAATAATACTTTTTTGGGTAGGGATTAATTGTCTGGGCTATAATTATATTAAAAAAACTTATTAATTCAAAAATTAATTCATAAATTATACAGTATTAACAAAAATCCTAGGGGTTTTCTTCTACACTTTGCCGATGGGGCCAGACTTTTGAGGCACCCTGTATATAAATTGTCAACCACAATGAATGTGGGTAATTACATCTCATTCACTTGGGCCCTAGGAGCCTCGACCCTCCGACCCCCAGAGTGGGAGACAGCAGTCTATCACCCATGCTATGATCAGCCACAATAAGGAAGAATTCCAGATGCAACTACAGTAACTGCTGCCCAAATGGACAAAACAGTAACTGCTGCCAAAAACGACCCAACAGCACACTTTCTAGCACTAATCCCTTCCCATTGTGAGTGCTTCCGGGTCGTTGGGGAAATAGTCCTAGACTACCAACGATTTTTGTACAGTCTGTGATGGTCAAGTGGTTACCATACTGGATATGCCAGAGTGATGCACCAGGCTATCTAAGGCTAGCAGGATGGGTGGTCAAAGTGGGTGGGTAGCAGGGCTGTCAGGAGACAGTGAGTGGGCAGATGAGCAGCAGGACAGGTGGTCAGAGTGGGTGGGTAGCAGGGTGGTCAGGAGATGGTAGGTTTGCAGATGAGTAGCAGGACGGGTGGTCAGGAGATGGTCGGTGGGCAGATGAGTAGCAGGACGAGTGGTCAGTGTGGGTGGGTAGGTAGCAGGGCAATCAGGAGACAGTTGGTGGGCAGATGAGTAGCAGGACGGGTGGTCAGTGTGGGTGGGTGGGTAGGCGAGCTTCCAGCTAGGACTAACAGGAGTTAGTCACCCCCGATCCCTCCCCAAGACACCCCCATCCCGCACACCAGTCCCTCCCTACTACCTCCATCTCCTCATCCCTCACACTTGGTCCCCCGCAGCTGTACCCCTCTCAGCCATATGGACGGTATTAATATGGTGGGCTTCCTTGCTACCAGCTGATAGATTGGGAGGTAGACTCCCTGAGCGCCTGACATTAAACTTGTTGTTTGCTGACTGATTGGTTGCTACTGTGAAAGCCTGATTGACTGTGAATAGCTGATTGACTGTGAATGGCTGACTGTGAATAACAGATTGACTGTGAATGCCTGACTGAATGTGTGACTGACCGTAAATGGTTAACTGGTTGCTATCACAACAGTGAATGCTTGACTGCCTTTGGTTATGACTGCCTGTGACTGATCTTGACTGAATGCTTGGCTGACATGTTGTGACTAACTGACTGGTTCTGACTGGCTGCCACATAACAGAGGCAGTGAAATGTGTGAAAGGAAAATATGGAACCAGTGGTGCAGATATGAAAGTGTTCAAGGTGAGCAGGGGACAGCCTCACCTTCTCCCCCATCACCCTCCTTCTCCCCATACACCAACATCGCTCCTCCTTCCTCCCTGTCTCCCATATGCCAACAAGAGTCCTCAGTAAAGGTGAAATACAGTTAAATGTTCACTTATTATATTTATAGTTTATATTTATGGTCGATGGTTTTGTATATGAAAAATTTGAATAGTATTCTGTATAAAATGTATTTTTAACCCCGTAACTGCACAGCCTCCAAATATAACACCCCCCCCCCCCCCAGTGTGCAGGAAATAAAATCTCTGGAGAAAATTCTTTTCTGTTTTGAAAGTGTTAAAAACACTTCCCTGACTATCGGTATAGTAACAGATCAAAATTGTACGTACTTTGGCTGCTATGGGGTCCGTAAGTTCGTGCGTGATGTCATCATTCCCTGGTCGCCGTGGCATGCGCCCCCGGGGCCGGTAGGGCGCTCAGGGCAGGATGTGCGGGTTGCCGCGAATATATTTTTGTTAATTTTCTGCGCACAGTTCCAAATACATTTTATATGCTTTTACGTGCCATTCCTATGTATAATGAACACATACACTATATTATGACAGTAGAACATCCGTACTGTCCTTAGACACAGTGTTACATGCATGGATAATCGGGCCTTGGATAGTAGGCCAAGAACTGCGTTCTGGCTGCTAGGTACAACATACATACATATACATACATATATATATATATATATATATATATATATATATATATATATATATATATATATATATATATATATATATATATATATATATATATATATATATATATATATATATATATATATATATATATGTCGTACCTAGTAGCCAGAATGCACTTCTCAGCCTACTATGCAAGGCCCAATTTGCCTAATAAGCCAAGTTTTCATGAATTGTTTTTCGACTACCTAACCTAACCTAACTTTTCGGCTACCTAACCTAACCTAACCTATAAAGATAGGTTAGGTTAGGTAGGGTTGGTTAGGTTCGGTCATATATCTACGTTAATTTTAACTCCAATAAAAAAAAATTGACCTCATACATAATGAAATGGGTAGCTTTATCATTTCATAAGAAAAAAATTAGAGAAAATATATTAATTCAGTAAAACTTGGCTTATTAGGCAAATCGGGCCTTGCATAGTAAGCCGAGAAGTGAGTTCTGGTGTTCCAATATATATATATATATATATATATATATAATATCTATATATATATATATATATATATATATATATATATATATATATATATATATATATATATATATATATATATATATATATATATATATATATAATATTGGAACCTCTATTAACGAGTTTAATTCGTTCTGGCACCGAGCTCGTTATCTGGAAAACTCGTCTTAACACTTTGAGGTTCCACAGACTGATTATCTCGTCATTTATTTTTCTACTGAATGTGTTCCAACGACGCAATACTGAGTCACTCATTAAAATATTTTTTAAAAATTTAAATTTTATCAGATCAATCTTGTAGTGGTTTTAAAATAAGCGCCTTTAGATTGCACACAATTTGATACCAAAATCAAAGATATAACATGAAACTTGATGTCCAAACACTTGAAATATTATAAATAGGCCTTTGGTCCGAATATTAAAATAATTGTTAAAATTCTATTTATTGTCCTATTATCTTGGGACTAGTTTTAAAATGCGCGCCGTTTTATTGCGAACAATTTGATACCAAAATGAAAGATGTAACACAAATATTTATGTCAGAACACTGGAAAGATATAAATAAATTTGTGATGATGAGCGTCCAGAATTAAAATATTTGTTAAAAATCCAGTTATTGTTCTATTATTCTGGGACTAGTTTTAAAATACTCGCCTTTTTATTGCGAACAATTTGATACCAAAATGAGCGACCTAGCACGAAATTTGATGTTATCAAATTGAACGAGTTGAACATTAGGTTGCAATGTACAAAATGGTGCTCGTTCACGGGTAACTTTAGGCTTTTCTGCGGGGAGGCACTCCAGCCTTTTGTACATTTTATTCTTACACATCTGTAGGGAATTTAATTGCGAACACAATGATACCAAAACGAGCGACGTAGCACGAGAATTAAGGTAAAAAAATGGAAGGAGAATGCACATGTTACTGATTTTGTGCGTTTTTGCCGACTTTACGCTTTGCTGTTGGGAGTCACGCTAGGCTTTTGGACATTATATTTATACACAGCTGTAGAGAATTTAATTGCGAACACAATGATACCAAAACGAGCGACGTAGCGCGAGAATTAAGGTGAGAAAACTGGAATGAGTATACACATTTGGGTGTCACCGCGCGCTTACCCGCACGGAGGGGCCACGATCCCCCAGTCAACCGCGAGTTTCTACGGAGCGCGAAAGTGTTAAGAAACATATTTCCCCATTTAAAATAAAGGAAATAAATTTAATCCGTTCCACTCTCAAAAACAATCATACTTGTATGACATTTTTTATGTAAATATA